AGACACTTTATGCTTTACATTTGATTTGATCTTTTACATTTGTCTTGTGGGGTCGTTGGTGAGAGATATAGATAAATGTTCTACTGCTTTAATACTTAAGAGTTTACAGCAGTGGCATTACATTTGCTCTGCATATCATGTACTGAGTGGGAGCATGTGCATTGCAACTGTGTTTCATTTCATGCATAACTGCTTGAGTTTTTCTTGATGTTTTGTGGTATTAATGTGGTTATGGTGTTTTGGTTAACATTAATACTGCATCTCAAACTAGTTTGCTTATTTCGCTGACTATGCTTCTAAGTACTTTATTGTTTATTTCCTGTATCACGTGTTTTTACACTGATATGTGAGTTTTTGATTTCAGGATACAGGATTAACAAAGTGAAAGCAGCATTCGGTTGTTTTCGTTGGACTTGGGTAATTTGGATAGGTTGTTGTTGTTGTTTTATATTGTGTTTTGTCACAAAATGTCAAAAGGAGAGTTTGTTAGATTTATATTTTGTATTGATGATTCTGTGAACAAATTGACCAACTTGAACAGTTATAAAAGTTTAGGGACTAAATTGTAAAGTTTCATAGTTGATAGATTAATTTAGGGTTTGAGGTTATATGTTTGGAATAAGAATAATTCACGCCGGATTTTTGCTAGCTACTCGCCGGAGTGTTGCTCGAGCGACTGAAGCAGAAAGTTCCTCGCTCGATGTTCGCCCACCTGTCGCTCGAGTGACAGACCCTTTGCTCGAGCGAAGAAGCCCCCTCGCTCGAGCGACGTCTTATATTGGAAAACCTAACATTTTTCGAGTTTTTTACTTGGCCCATACAACTTAATTCGTTCAACCTATATATTGAAGGCGTCGTATTTCTTGAATGAGAAATTGAACAACATAATATTCAAGAAAAATACATCCTACGCTAGATCCAAAGTTCAATCCTTCAATTTATATGTGCCTCTTTCATTGAAAACATCAAAACTATCAAATCAAACACTGATTTGGTTTCTTCGCTTGGATCTGCTGCAAGATTGTGTCGTCAACTGTGCTCATATGCTGCAAGATTGTTTCTTGAAGATCTACATGAGATAAACTGCATAAAGAGTCATGATTGAAGTTCGTGTACTCATTCCATGATGACTGCTTTACAAAGAAGAGTCAGGATTGGTGTTGGTGTGCACATTTCAGGAGGGTTGCTTCATACTTCAGATATGAGATCAGAAAACTTGTGTTGTCAACTTTGCTACTAGTCTGTAAGTTTTATTGACAGTTTACAGTGGATCTTTGACTGGCAAAGTGCCCAGAGTTTTTCCTACGTTGGGTTTCTCCATGAACAATTTTGGTGTTGTTTACTACTTTATTTACTGCTTTGAGATTACTGCGGTATTTCAAGATATGTTAAATTGAATTGTTTGACTAATCACTTAGATATAATTAACTTGTGACTTGTTGCATGTTAATTAAATTTTAATTCCACAATTACACCTAATAACCCCCATCTAGGTATAGTAGGGTCGGATCTTGCGTTTCTTAGTGAAGTACCATATAGCACCAGTAATAGCAAGGCAACCAAGAACTATGGCATTGGGGCTGTAAGGCAAGCTCCGTCGCCGCTGCTGCTTTGAGGACTCAACTCCTGCTCTTTTTACTGCTTCCTCAGGACTCATTTCTTCCCGCAGCCTTTTGTTTCCCTTTCTAATACGAGCAGAAAGCAGAAGAAACTCAAGATGTGTGTGAATTTTTTTGTGGGTGGAGGCTGTCACGCTCATCATAAAAGAAGACTACGGCGGTGCTCTCAACGTGTCAATTTGCTGCGTATTTTGCTTGACATGTGTTACAAGTTACAAGTACTCAATCGAGTTCAATGATGTATTTCACAATATTTACGTATTTGATACAATTAAAATGGAAAAATTAGTGACATATTCCAATTTTGAATATTTAGTCCATATAATTGAAATTAAAAATTAGATTTTTAGTAGATTTTGATAAAAGTTGATAAAATATGTGATTTAATAATTGATAAAAATGTTGAACGTGATAAAATGAGGTTATTAATAGTTAAATTTGATTTAAATTTTTAAGTCACGTCAAACAAGGGATTGAAGTTAAATAATTTATCATCTATTTTTACATCTTTGATTCGTTGCTTTTGTCACTAAAATAGTTATGAAAGTTAGAACCTTAAGGGAAAACCCTACTAGGATGGAAATTTATTACATGAAAATGGAAAATCAGTTCAAATGGTCTCGAATCTTTGCATATCTTGTATTTTTGGTCAAAACCTTTAAATCTTGGTGCATATGACTCTAAACCTTTGCATTTATGGTACAATTGGTTCTTTTGGACAGATTCCATCAAAAGGACCATTACTTTTGATCGTGAAAAACACTTTCTTTTAAAGATAAATTGTATGCGTAGTCCAATTTTGACGAAAGTAACAATGTGATCCTTAATTGATTTTTCATCAGGGCGTTTGTCCTTAAATCTACAACAGATAGCAAAGCCAGTTCATTTTTGTCTTTAAGTGGGAAAATACCTAAATAAAATAAAAAAATGAAAAGAAAGCAAAATTCATCTCATTCTCCAACCCACCTACCGAAGCTTTTGGAAACCACCACCCATTGCCATCACCACCGTTCTCAAGGACAAAATTGCTACTTTCATCAAAGTTGGGACAACATATGCAATTTATCTTTATAAATAAAGTGCATTTCTCGCGCCAAACGAACTATCCTTCTACACGGAAATCATCTAAGATGGTCAATTATTCTAAGAATGCAATGTTAGAGACCATTTGCACCAATGAGAACTGATCTCCTACCCATAGTGAACATGAAATATGTTGTCCACCATCGATGTGGCAACATGTTAAAAACCAAACCCTGATGTGGCAACGTCATATGTTGTCCAATAGATGAGTGGACGACATAACTCTTACCCACTGTAGATAGGAGATCAATTATATTACACCAATATATTAACGTTTAGACCAAAATCATGAGTACAACTTAGGAGGAGCACTATACATGACTATAACCTCAAGAAAATGAGATGCAGGTATCGTTTTAACCCATCTTATTAATTGATAGCAAAAGCAAATTCTTAAAGAGGCTTAAAGGCTCAATGATAGTGATGAATATAACAAAAGGATACCCAAAAGTTAGATGTTTCAAGTGTTTTATGTCCTAATCCTATTAGGCATATCGTGACGATTGTCAATTTTCCTTGGCAACAAAAATAATGCCATAACGCGATTAAAAGAAATGAGGGTAATGAAAAGGATAATGCAATGGTAGCGGACAACATTTCCACCCGAGATTGCCAATAATATTCACATTGGTTCCTTATATCTTCGATGTATTAAGACAACTGCCAGGGGCGGACCTCCCACCCCCCAAAAATAAAATTTTTTTTAAAACTTTTTTTTTTAATATGAAAGGAAAATGAATCAACATTCATTTCAAACCAATGTTTTCTCTCGCCTGAGTCGCCTCTTCTCCTTTTCTCTCTTCTTCTTCATGGTAAAATTAAGGTTGTACATTGTTAAATGGATACGAAAATGGTTGTGATAATACTGAATAACTGCACAATAATAGTTCAAAACTTCAAATCTCATTTATCTTTATTTAAATGATTTATAATTACTTTCAAAGAGTGAAAATTGCATTGCCAAATAAAAACAGTGAAAAGTCTGTCTCCACTCTATAGCAATTTAAAGTTCAATCGCGACAAAGAATTCTAAGATCTGACCCAATGAAAAAGCTAGTAGACAAGACTTCCGTGAGCTATAGTGCTGAAACCAGTACTAAACGAAGTAATCAGTGTAAAATGATCTTATACTTGGATTAGATCAATGAATAGGAATAGAAGAATTCTTAGTTGAATTTAATTACGTTTTTGTAATGCATGAGATTCACGAGTGAAATTCTCAGTTGAAGTGACATTTTAAAAGAAATTTCGAGAGCCTTTTAGCCTATGAGAATCTGGTCCGACTGAATGTAATCAGAAGAAAGAGTTGTGCAATATGATTGAACTTGAATGAGCAATGATTGTTTCTCGAGTATTTGATGCATCAAAAATAAGTCTTGCTCTTACCATTTTCTTATCCCTTGTTGATTTACTTGTTGCATCTATTATATAAGTTTCAGAATTTAAGAAATGTACATATAAATCTGTGACTTGAATTTTATAAAAATTTGTGTAGCTCTTGATGATCAAGATTGTATACTTAATTTCTTTGTTGATTTGAATTACGAAATTACATTAAATTTTTCTTTATTTCTCACTTTAATTATGGAACGTTATCAAAATATGAGAACACGTAGAGAACAATTATAATAAAATATCTCTTACTTTAATTTTTTAGTTACTTTTTGAAAGTTTGATTGTGTCCCCCAACATAAAAAGTCTGCTTCCGCCCCTAACAACTGCGGAACACATTTTGATTTATTTGATGAAAATTAAAATCATATTTTTAGTAGATTTTGATAAAAGTTGATAACACGTGCGATTGAAAAGTTATGAATCTCATAAAATGTGTAGTTAAAATTAATTGTTGACTTTAACTTAAATTAAAATTTGGATTATAATTTCTACCAAATAGGGGCACAGTGTTATTCAACTCTTAGTAGGACAAGAAGAAAAGAGTAAAAAGTGGAAGTCACATTAAAGTCTCACACATTGTTAACAAAAGTATGACGTTGGGACACTTTCTTTACGGTTAAAAAGTATTTAGAAAATAGAAAAGAAATATTAAAATATTTATAAAAAAATTGCTGGGTCCCAATATAAAGTATAAGCCGGTACGGCATATAAATTGTTGTGTTTATATATCCGTTAGAAAGCGACATAATGATGCAATGCCAGAAAAATCTCCATGGCTGCTGCTGATTACTGCTCCCCAACGGCTAGTTTTTCACCCTCCTCTATATAGACTACAGCATATACCACACAGGCACCACTATCATCCCTGCAACATCTCTCTCTCAGTCCCTCTAAGACTGCACTATGGCTAGTTTTTCAAGGTCCTTGTGTTTTTCACTTGTCCTTTTTATCATCTTCTTGAGCTTCTCAGAAGCCAGAGACCACTTGATCGGTGGCAAATCCGATGCGTGGAAAGTCCCTTCTTCTGAATCTGATTCTCTCAATCACTGGGCAGAAAAAACTCGATTCCAAGTCGGCGATTCTTTAGGTATATATACTGTAAAGTAATAAAATTTATTGAAATCTTCTGTTATGTTAAAAGTTTTTCTGCTGTTTTTCAGCGTGGAAATTTGATGGGTCCAAGGATTCAGTGCTGCAAGTGGCCAGAGGAGACTACGTTACATGTAACATATCGAGTCCAATTGAAACTTACACCGATGGCAATACGAAGGTGAAGCTCGAGCGGTCGGGGCCGTACTACTTCATTAGTGGAGCGAAGGGGCACTGCGAGAAGGGTCAAAAGGTGATTGTGGTGGTGATGTCTGAGAAGCACCGCCGCTTCATTGGAGTTTCTCCGTCGCCTTCTCCAGCAGAGGTTGAGGGTCCGGCGGTTGCTCCCACAAGCAATGCTGCAAACTTGAAGGGGAGCTTTTTGGTGGCACTGGGAGTTCTTGTGGGATTTCTTCTGATGTGATGAATTTTGATTTGAAGGGTTAATCTTATTTAATTTATTTTTTTGATGGGATTAATATAATTTTTTTTCTCTCATTTTCGTAAATGTTTGCATTTCCAACTGCAGAAAGAAAACATTTTTTCATATTTTTTTCCTTACAAATGGCATATTATCCATTTAGTTGCCGTAATTCCTCCTGAGTTCCTTTTATTTCTGGTATGCGGAATAATGAAATTCAGTACTCTCATCTCATCACTAATAATTATCAAGTTTATATTAAAGTTGCTTGAAAAAAAAAACAAGAATCAAAGGGGAGAAAATTCTATACTTCACCCACCCCCATTTTCTAAATCTCATTTTTATTTTATTAAAAATTTGATTTTTAACTAAATCATTGTACATTTTATTTGATATCATTTTTATACATTGTGTCACGTGTCGTAGTATATATAATATTTAGACAATCTTAAAGAAAAACATACTTTCCCGTTCAACAAAAGTGTACAATATGGATGTGTACACTTAGCATAATTCTAAATATTGATAACATATTCTGTACGCATTTCTGGACATCGCTTCCCATCAGTGGCAAATCAAAAAATGAACCTAGGGCGGTCATCAACCGTCAACTACCGTTAAAATATGAACAGCTACAACTTTAGATTTCGTCACCGCTCAAAACTTAGCTGATGTCGCTAAAATGTCAACCACAATAAAAGAAAGACATTAACATGAAATACCTTATAATCTGGGAAGCCAACCTACGTCTTCAAATCTTCTACGCTTTGAAGCACAAAAGCAAAGAAGCAACGATCCAAATCAAAAAAATAGACATGGACGAGCGAAGTCATGGTATAAAACCAATTTTTTTTAAAAGAAAAATAGTCGAAATATTCAATACTGACCTCGGTTTGCCACGGAGATGGAATCCAATTAGGATTTATCGAGTTCTTGTTATGAATTTGCCAAGATTTTGGAAAATTTGGAAGAGATACGGCTGGACTGGTCACTGGTGGAGGCATCATCGGGAGGCTGGTGTTGGTGGAAGGAACACTGGAACTTGGAAGTGGAACCTTGTAAATTGTAATGGATTTGTGGAAAATTGAAAGGGAAAAATTCATAAGTAAGATGTAATTAATTGGTCACGGATTATTTTTGAAGTCACAAATCAAAAATTTTATAGGTCACGAATTACTTCAAGGTCACAAATAAAAAATATTATACGTCACGAATTATTTCGAGGTCACGGTTCAAACATTTTATAAGTCACGAATTATTTCAAGGTCATAAATCTAAAATATTATACGGCACGAATTATTTCGAGGTCTCAGTTCAAACATTTAGTCACTGATTAAAAATTTCAGAGGTCACGGACTATTTCGAGATTACAAATCAATAATTTTATAGATCGCAAATTATTTTATTGGCCACGAATCAAAAAATTAAAGGTCACAGATTAATTTTTAGTCACAAATTGTCGAATTTTGAGGTCACACTTAGTCCATTATCAAACGTCAAAACTTCACCGTCCAGCCACCTTTCTGCCCGGCAACCACCACTGGCCAACTCCCCTCACCAAGACGAACACAACCGTGTAGCCAATTTACTCCAACAAGCAAGCACAAGATTTGAATTGCAATTTGAAATCTACCCAATTGTGAAGGTCGCAACATCGCAGTGCACTTCCTCAATTTTCGACGCCGTCCGGATGACCCAGGGTGGCGAACCACCTGGGTCCTCTTCCCCTCCCCAAGGCGCTCCTTGCCCAGGCCTGGGTCAACCCCAATTTAACCACCAACAATCTGAATTTGATCAGAAAACCCAAACAGGAGCGAACTCGCGAAAAACGGATTTTCAAATTGTTTTTATCAGCGACTTTCCGGCGAAAGGTGGATGCTCCAATCTCTCACCTCTCACCATCGCACGCACCACGCCCACCACCGCACCCACTGTACACGACAATCACCACGGCCACCACTGCACCCACTGTACACGGCACCACCACCCCCAAACTAGTTTTGAACCTATACTAGCACCACCGCCACAATAGATCGAATAAAAAAAATCCCAAAAAAGGCAGCGTTGCAGATTTGGCAGCAAAGCTCCGCCTCTAGTCGCCTCGCTGATCCGTTTGCAACAGGCCTGGGCAAGTCTTGGAGTGGATGCCACCGACTGTTGGGAGTTGTGTTGTCGACGACGAGGTATAAGGAGAGAGAGAGAGAGAAAGAAAGTGAAGGGCGACGGGTTGGTGTAGGAAGAGAGTAGATATGAAGAGATAGAGGAAAGATTGAATTAATTAATTAGGGTTTGTTATTTTATTAAAATATTAATTAAAATAAAACATTTGATTTTTGAACATTGAAACCTTCCATCTGATTTTTGAATATGGATTTTGAAAAGTAGGCTTGTGTGTAATTTCCACAAATTGAAATGGACAATGTACCTGGACACCATATATAATTGATTTGGGCCTGATCAATTGAAAAGCAGGGGCCCAACTAAAATTAATTATAATTTCGGCCCAACCAAATGCAAAAGGCCCAATTAAAAAAAAGGAAGAGGAAGCCAACAAACCCTCGCCAGTCGCCTCGTGCCGGCCTCCTTCCTCATACGGTGCACTGTTCCGGTATAGCCCAGCACGCGCGGCAACGCCCCCTTGACGGATGCTGGGTCTGCCGCTGCTTTACATAGACACAAATCTTTAACACTATTAATCCTCTCCCGTGTTTTGAGTTGACGTACTAAACATGCCAATAAACGAGAATAAACAAAATTCAGAAAAGGTCATGACACATATTCAAATGCCTACCCGTCATGACTAACAACTTAACAACAGCCATAATACACAGGTTCATTTTGACTTCTGGGGCTACCAAACCACTAAATCTCATTAAACATCTTCAAGAATCTCCATAAACTTGGTAATTCTCTCTCTCTCTCTCTCTCTCTAAGAGGGCAGGGGGGAAGGAGAAGAGTAATCCCATTTGTACACTTTTGTGTGCATTAACTTTGACACTCCTCTTATAAAAGAATGTGGGGCCCATGATTTTTTAAATTGCGGGCCCCACCTTTGTGAGAGGAATGTCATGCATGATGTACACCAAAGAGTGTAGATCAAGCATGACTCGAAGGAGAATAGGAGGCATACCCAGAACTGAAAGATTTCTAACATGCATGTAAAAGAAAAAAATAGATATTTGCTTGGAGTATAGGCAGGGAAACCGAAATCTCCGCGATCGCATACCACAATCGCCTAACGTGTGAATATAGATCTCAAACACGCAGGTGCATACAGTTCATGTAACCCTGCAGGGAGAACTTGAGAAAGAGAAAGAAGTCAAAACATGAAAGACAACAAAAGATAATTCATGGTTATTGATCAGGGCATCGAGGGCGTGCATTTAAGGACAGCAAGAACAAAGAGTAAACATTTCACACTTCAAATTAACACAACTTTTAAATGTCGGAGCCACAATCAACAGCATAAAACACTATTCTTTTCAGCTACTGCATATTGGCATCACAACTTGCCAAAGAGTACCTTCCAGACTATTCTTTTCACGTTCGGAGATCTTAGCCTGAAAGCCGTCTAATAGGCATTTTGTGCCAAGAAAAACAATGGTTCGTGGTTTCCATAAACTCTTAATTGCCTCTATTAGACTAGGGAAAATGGAGCTATAAAATTTCAAAAAAGAAAAAGGAGTTTCATGATTTTATCACTCAGAGATTCCCAACTTAGTCTTGCACAGCAAGCAAGGTGCAAACAAGAGTATCATAGACAACTACTACATAAAATTTCTGATGATCTTTCTCATTTGCAATTAATTACATATGAATTGCAGTGGGTTCGAACTTGACAAGGTACAATAAATATTTCACCCCTATGGACTTTATTTATACACCCCCCCCCCCCCCCCCCCCCCTTCTCTTGTGTGCTAAAATTACCAAAATCAAACCAAAAGTACATAAATTTAGAACATCACTCTTTCTAAACCGCAAGTAGAAATATTTGGAGAGCTGTCATAATAAAAAACCATGCAAAATGATGGTTGAGTGGATTTGCTGAAGATAAACCAAATAAGACGTAAAAAACAAAGATGTATATAATCACAAATGTAACAAAATAAATCCATAATTCTTTTCAGAACAAATAATTACAAATGCAAGAGATGTTCTAGTGCATAAATAATTCTGGAAAATCTATATTCATCCCAAACACTTGTATAATATGGCTGCTATTCTCTTGGTAAACACAATATGGCTAACCCCTACCAAACGTCTCAACCTGAACTTGTCCATCACATAACCCACCCTTGGTCTTTTCCATTTGCTGATAATTTAGGGCTCATTTGGAATATTTTCAAAAAGTAAAGTGAAAGATGACTTTGAAGCTTTGAACGACGTCTTCAGTATTTACTGACATATTGGTTGACAAGTCAGAAAGTAAAAGGCGAAACATTGTTTACCCATTTTACCATCATTTTTCTATTTTACAAAATGTTTTCCCACAAACAATGCAAACTCATCTTCTATTTTTATGTCTGGTGGGCCATATGTAGGAAAAGTACAGATAGGTACCAAACAGGCTTATCGCTCAAGCATAAATAGCAGACAGTAAACATACAAGAGCAAGTACTGTACTTCTCCTTTCGACCCTAACATTCTATACTATGATGCTACCCTGTTGAACTATGCAAAATCATTTGCGGATTTAGGGAGACATCTTGTACAGTTACTTACAATGTCAATTACTGTACAGCATGGAGCTTTCGAATAACTGTGCGCATGAACTCTACCTAATAGTCTAGTATTCAGTAAATCCTTATAATGCAAAGATCAATTTTCAAACCGCAATAGTTCAACCCCTATAGGGGAATATGCCTCAACTTACTCCTAAATAATAAGGAACTCCTCAATTGCAGCTTTGAGGGCTCAGAATTTAGTCATAATAGGACCTAAGACATAATTTGGAACATCTAGTCTGAATCTACTTCAGTCCCAAATTCCTCCATAACTTTCAAAGTCACCATCGTACAACTTTAGGCTTCAAATATCTATGGTGAATCAGCATCCATTTCGCGCACTTTGTGTCACATCATGTCAATTAATGCATGAAACTCTAAGATGAAATTTAAAACCACATCAATATATAATTCCTTAGAGGCACATTCAGGATGAACAACTTGTAAAGCACACTTCCCAACCCCAAAGTTATATACTTGGATACAGGCAGAAAAAGACACCTTAACAATCAAGTTTTCTGTCAAGGATATTTTGCTAGACCTTAAAACTCTTCATCTTAATTCAAAAACGCTTCTCCTCTAGGTTCTCTCACAAATATATATTGAGTATTATAGACAGCTCAATGTTGATTTGCTAAACAATGTTTGCAACGGTTGTTTATCCATACGTATAATATTGGACTCGTGATTTGTATTACTCTCCAATCATACTCTGTATTTAATTAGCCAGCTATCCACATAACCACGTAAAGCCTGTAAATATATTCAGCTCTACTCTATGTCAATTATGTTGACCTATGTTTGATTAAAACTTTAAAGTTTTGATTATAACAAACAAGTTAATCTTGTTTAGTAACAAGTTGAATTTAAGTAATAATAGTTTTTCAAAGCATACTATAAAAAAATTGATCGATGGTCATCAAAAGATCAAAAGCTATCATCACAAATCGAATTCATGAAGAAGGTCAAGATTAAAGTCACACATTCAAGAACTTAAGAGTGAAACTTCGGAGTAAGATCTATGGCTTGATTTCTTAGATAAATTGTAAACGTACTAACTCTTTGATATTTGTTAATTGATGCTTAAGATCAAAATCTTTCTATGCGTCAAAAACAATTTTGTGCATTAAAAGTCATAATAATACAATGATTTGATCCAATATAAAAATGATATCTGGATTTGAAAAACATCTTTTATCTTAAAAAGTTGAGTTAAAAATCTTTCCAAAAGTCTATGCCCTTCAAAATTTTCGAATAAAAACAAACAGAGCCAAAACGCAAAAAGACCGAAACTGTCGGATGGTTGACCAGTTGGAAGAGGCAATCGACCAAAAGTTTCAAACGGTCCAAAATTTGACCATTCTGACCTCTGATTTTTACTGTACAGAAGGCTATATTGATCATCCGGACAAAAGGCGATCAACCGGACGAGTCATCCGAACTTAAAGATTTTTTTGACGTTTTAAAGTTTATAAATACATCTACTTCTTGTATTCATTATAACATTCTTCAAGATCATCAAAGTAAAATCTCTTTTGAGAGATTTCTTTAAGTTTTCATTTGCGTTCATTTAATTTATTTTTTTGTATCAAAACTTTGATTGATTCAAACTCTTCAATTATCATCTTTATCAGAATTTTTCATCTCTCATTTTGTAACTAACTTATTTCTATTACTCATAAAAGAAAGACATATTTTGAAAAAGATCTTTAAACTTACATTGCATATATTTTTTTCTCCTTCTTCATATTGAAAACTTTGATTGATTGAATCAAACTTGTAAAATCATCATATTCATCAAAATTTCTCATCTCTTTCTTGCTACTTAATTTATTATAATCATTCATTAAAAGAGATATATATTTTAAGAAGATTTTTTAACTTATATTTTGCTAGATCGTAAAATTCTTTATCTTAATTCAAAAACGCTTCTCCTCTAGGTTCTCGCACAAATATATATTGAATATTATAGACAACACAATGTTGATTTGCTAAAAAAATGTTTACAACAGTTGTTTATCCACATATATAATACTGGACTCTGTGTTAAACGATGCTCTGTATTATTTTCTAATCATACTCTGTATTTAATTAGCTAGCTTTCCACATAACCATGTAAAGCCTGTAAATATATTCAGCTCTACTCTATGTTAAAGGATCACATATGTTTGCCATCAATAGCATGGTTTATTTTTTTCTCGAAGTTATCACTACCATGTGTTCATTTCACATGAATGCGTCTCGCTTACTAAGTCAGAAGGATTAAGTATATTTGATATAGTTTTTACAAGTATTCAGTTGAGATTATATGACAAACAACAAACTCAGGTTCAATGAAAAAATAAAGGGTAAATCAATGAGCTAATTTTAACACTTGCTATGAGTAATGACAATGCACATTCAATATCCTGGAACCTGCATATGCTGGACCCATCCAAACATGGAAATTATTGATTCACTAATTATTTATTCACTGTATTTTCATGAGCTATTCAAACTTTTCAGTAGCTAAATGTTTTAGGAAGAAAAACATGTTAATTCCCATAACCTAGGGAAAGAATGCACAGGTAAAATCAAGCTCACGAGGAAATCTGTTTACATAATCAAGTTTCTCAACAAAACCATTAGAACGATAATTATTACTTACCGTAAGTTTATGAGCCATTTTATGTTTCTCTAGTAATTAAAAAAATCTATAGAACAATATAGCATGAGAAGTAAAACGCGACAGTTTACAGTACATAAAAAAAAATCATCAGATCAATAGAAAATGCACAGATATTCATAAAATTTTATGACACAACGTAAGTAAAAATTGATCCAGTGCCATTTGCTGGATAAGATTCAGAAAATTCAAAGATTTTTAAAATTTATAATAAGAGTGTTCAAACAGCTTTAATACTCTTTACTAGACCAAATTTAGGGGGAAAAAAACTACAAATGGAATTGGCTTTGACTAATAACCTGTTCAATATTGGTTGTCAATATTTATCTGATCAGAAGTTTGTTGCAAGTATGCCAAATAGTCTGTTGGATTAAGTCAGCAAAGTAGCGCGTCAATTATTTTAACCTAAAAAACAAAATCATTAGGTGGAATGTGGGATAGGAATCGAATCATCATTTCCTCGTCTATTTTTCTGACACGTCTGACGTATCCCATTTACCAGGATTTACCATTTCCGAAATACATTCAGATTCTCAATAATACTCATTGCTAATTTCTCTTGAGACAGAGAGAGTAGAGAAACATCCACATACATTAAAACTAGAAAACCCTTCCATCTCCACCCCCAACTAGTAGTAATTTCATCACCATTATCATGGAAAAAGTACCATGATTTGGGTAAAGATTATTGTCTTAGCCAATTACAAATCTTTGCAACAGTTTATATATAAACTAGTATGGTCAAACATCGATCTAGTTGAAATATTTAGAAACAATAAAAAGCTGTTCTCATTTAAATGCAAATCGTGGCGTTCTAAAGGATTCCATATAAACTTGTTCTTTTCAAAGAATTCCACAAAATTACTATAAAACGTGTTTCAATATAATTAACATGTATATTACTTCTGCCACACCTTCACCACTCTTTGAGCCGTGAATTCCATAAATTTCATATCATTGCATCCAACCAGATTGCCATAACAAAAAACTACTTGAAAGAATATTACCATCCATGAAAGAGTTGAACCTCACAATTTTCTAACTTGAATCAACAGGATCACAATATAAGATAAAACTGGACTCGGACATTTAAATGATCAAAGTGCAAATAAAAACACAAGACTTGGTGAAAAAAAGAAAAACATACCAGAGGATCAGTCTAGAACTATGCAATCATCATCTGAATTTTCAGGTTGTAAAGGTCCTTTAATACCACTTTGGTTGTCACCTAAGAGCTCACACGCTGCTTTCTCAAGAAATTCTTGCGCAGCAGCACGTACAGATTGCTTCTCAGATGACTGATATTTTCTCTTCTTTTTGACACTTCTCTCCACGTATTTAATCCTTGTCACATCACCACAACTGATTTCCTTCATGCTTTTCTTTTGCTCTGTAATACCATGTAATTATTCAAAAGATAGCTAAATGGAAAGAAAATCATGACCAAATATAAATGACCACCTACCTAGTGAAAGGTCAGGTAAGGAATGCTCAATAAAACGGGCTGCCGCCGTGGGATTAATGGTGGCTGAAGGTCGCAGTGGAGCTGCAAAAAATTAAAAATGACAGAAATCACCTTTTGTAGTGATAAACTCTCAGTTGTTCATCCAACATTTATACCTCTAATGCGATGAAATGCCTTATTAAATTTTGAACTTACATGTGAAGGACTACTTTCCTAACTTGCATAACATGGTGAGTTACTTTCTCTTTCCTCTCATCAAGATGACCATCCATACGTGGTTTTCAAGATAATGTACCATATGATCAGATACACACAGTGCTGATGTGTATTAAAAAAATCAAAACAGGGTCACTACCATGCACCACAATCCAAAACGACAAGAGAAAGTTCCACTTGAATAGGTTAACTATGACTTTGAATCTGAATCAAGGAAAATTGGAGCATTTTTGGACGGAGCTTATATGTAACGTATAGGGGTTTTCAAAAAGTATGGGTCTATCGACTTTTCAAAACCCATCTTTTAAGTTACATATAAAAAAAGCACTATCATAAATACAAGGTAAAATGAACTAGTCTTTCAATATAAAATGCGATTGAGGAGAATCAATTATACCTTTACTCAAATCCATGCATTTCTGCAGTTTCTCCTCATACAAGCTTAATCTCTCCTGCATACATAACCATTAAAAAATACATGCACAAAAAGTAGTCAAAAAATTACCAACATGAAATCTTACACCGGAAGTTGAGGCAGACCACTAATAAATCTTCAAGTTAGTTGAAAACAGAGCAAAAACGTGTAACTTATTCGCAATGTCGAAAGATATATCCAAAGGCAAGCACATGCACAAGAAAATCAGGGAAAAACATTTGGACTGAGCAAGGCTCTAAAATAAAAGCACAAGCACTACAGACAGGCATATAGGAAAATAGAATTATCAAACTCATACACAAGCACCACAAAAACATCAAAAAATCAAAATTCTAGTCAAAAACACTGAAAAAACATCAAAAGCATATAACTTGATCCCGGACACAGTTCACAACCTTAAAATTATGCAAAGACAATTTGATCAATATCTCGTATCACACACATGCATTTGTTCAAATACCAAGAAAATATTAAAACGTGAAGCAAAAAACACAGTCAACACATCCAAAGAAAGTGGAGAAAAATAAAAAGAAACATACAATCTCTTTTCTGACGGGATGGTTATCTGGGTTCACACCTTTGCATCTCAGCCTCACTGAAAGCCACCATAAGCAAACAACAACGGTAATTAAATTAAAGAAGAACTCTATTCATACCATCATATGATGATCGAAAAAGATAACAACAAGAAACAAAAATTTACTTCAAGTTTAATGAATTCACAGTATATGTCTAAACATAAAGGGTTTTGAAAATATTTAATTTTAGAGCTGAAAACATACAGATATACATACAGAATACATACAGGCGACGAGAGTAGTATTGGCTTTAGCAATCAAGAATAGGGCCTGGGCCCTTTCAAGAGGCTCCAATTGAGAAAGGGTTTCAGAATCACAGCATTTCAAGAACTCTTCCAAATTGGCTTTCACTTCATCAATGTTACTCGACGTTCTCTTCACTGCCTCCATTACTGAGTCTGGTATTATTTTCTTAGAACTGCTACTTCCACTTTCCATTCCTTTTCAATTTTTCACAATCCAATTTGCTTTGTCTCGACGTGTTGTTCTGTTGGGGTGTAATTTCAGCTACAGTAGGGATTTTGGGAGTATTAAGTATTGAGGTTTTGTTTGTCTTCTGGTGCAGTTTGGGGAATCTGAGTTCAATATTTATTCATTGTTTCCCTAACTTCAGCCTTCTATTATTTGAAAATGACGTTTTCATCCAAAAAATTGTCACGAAGGCACTAGGACCTACCCTGAGATCCAATTTTGAAAGCCAGGTCTTCACATTTTTGCGTGTATTAGAAAAAAATTTTACTTCATTCGAATTCCTCCCCACCCACAACCGACCTAAAAGGGAAATACCTTTCCCTCTTGAGCTAAAAAAATCATGAACGGGATAACGGACCAAAAGCTATGGAACTTGGATGTGGTTCGAGTTTTTTGTAACTAAAATCTATAAACCAAAAATACAACAATAAAATGGTTAATTTCACAACTAAACTACATTTAGGGAATCAAGTTCAAAAACCAGGTGAATTTATAAGAATTGTGTCACGATTTGGACCCAAGCTTCAACTCTTACTCTACCGCAACTCACAGTGAAATCTATTCAGCTGGAGGTAGCTGAATTGTAACCAATTAAATGAAGACGAAGACAATTGAGAGAGAAAGATGAATTGATAATTGACGTAGCGGAAGATTATAGGAAAGATGGACAACCTCACAAATATGAGATAAACCCACGAAAG